CACCTGTAAAAATCAGTGTTCTAAAGCAGTTACTGTGCTATTCTTAGTGCTTTTGGTAACCACTTCTGTGAAGACTTATATTTTCCATGGATGAACTGCCAACCCATCTGAGCAGCAGTTCAGCCACACACGTTGCTGACAGCAATGGGCAGTTTTTCTGATGTAGGTCAGACTTGGAACGTCTATCTTTGACTCATGCTGTCAGAAGTCAGTACAAACCGCTATCTTCCTCAATTGTCCTTTGCTCCCTTCCTTGTCCCAGAAATATTAAAAGGTCTAAGTGCAGTGGGCAGGATTTCAGTGCAAAGCCAAGGGATTCATGCAGTGCCAAGTAGCTCATGGGATGCAGTCCAAGAGCATTGGCCCATGAAAACGTGGCAACCAGCCTTTGGATTGGGTGTCTCCAAGAATGGGACAGGAGTAGAGTTTGCCAGGGCACTTACTGGAGGCTAGAAACAATGCTGGTTACAACTTGCATAGTCTTGGGTGGCTGGTATACAGAGCTGAAACAGTTCTGAGCAGGGATTACTCATATGCTAGTGATGAGGAGGATATAAAGTAATAATGACCTTAATTGACATTAATCTAGATTGGATCCAGAGCCCACACCAAAGTATTCCCATTTGTAACACCACATTAAGCACAGAAAAATTCACAAGACAATAGACCTTTCTGACACCTTTTTATGCCTTTTTACAGAAATACAGTAACCTAGTCCTGTGCATGAAAAGGTACGTTTTTACATTCAAAAGGCTGCAGTTCTTTAAAGTATTCTGTGAAATAAAGAATAATGAAAATTGCTGTGCCATCAGAACTACTACTTCTGTTGTCCTTATCATAGCTACAAAACTGAGGTTGAGGTATTTAAACACAATTTCAGACAAGTGCAAAACAACCTCATTAATTGCAGTTTTATATATATATATATGTAATTTTCTAAGACTTTGTTTAAAAAAAAACCCACAGTATTTTGGTTGGTTGTTTTGTGTGCTAAAAAAATATGTGACAGCATGACTTACTGTTATTTTTGGACACTACTGAAATATGAAAAGAACAAAAAGCCAACTTGCCATTAATTGGAAATAATACATTTAAGTTTTAGAAGGAAGGAATAATATAAAACATACGTGGCTCTTCATCTTTGGTTGTCTGATCTTTCTTGGTTTTTAAATAAATCAAACCCTCTTGTGATTTCCATTTGTAATATTAGATCTTTAAATGTCTGGCTTACACTCTAGCATAAGCTCTGATGGCTGCCAACTTGGAGACAAACTACTTTATACCAGACCTCCATAAGTTGCTAGAAAAATTAGTTTTGTCTCACTTTTAACAGTCCTGGTTTTTAATGTGTTCTTTTAACTTAATTGCTCTCACTTTTGCTGCTTAAATGACATTTAGCGAAAGGGAAAAATAAAAGCATATTTTAAAGTTCAGAGGTTAGAACTTCTAGATCCTATTTTCATGTTTAAAAGGACAAGATGGTAAAAAACATGCTTTGTTTTGTTTACACCAAGGGTGATGAATGGCAAGGAATTGGGGATGAGACATGACCACTTCTTACCAGACTTCTGAGATATGCTTCTGCTGAGTACAAGGAAAGAAGTCACTTCAGATTTTGTTAGCATTATTCTGGAACTAAGATTAGATTATGGGCTTTGAGTCATTAGCAATTATTAATGAATAAAATTATTTTTTAAAAAGGATGGGGGGAGAAAGATGATTTAGACCTAATAATTTTATAAACAGGCCAAAAATTTTCCATTTAAGATGCATTCTGGAACAGATCCTGCAGTTCTTCACAACCAAGATAGCCTCTCAGGACTCAGCAACTTGAGAACAAAACCAACACAAAAGAACATCTGATTACATAAAAATATATATTTAAACATGTAAAAGATACCGAATACACATTGCCACACAGCAAAATATTTTTTTCAAATTTTAACTAATAGTTAAAATCACTGTCAAGTCTGCCTTCATATTTTTGTGCATTTTGCCTTGCAATGACTTCCAAGTACCAGCTAAGCTTCCTAACTGGAAGAAAGGTAGCCAGCATACATACACATGCAGAAAAGACACAACATAACTTATACCATCTAATTTAAAGAAGTCATCGCTGTTTATGAATTTTTAATTTTATAACTTTTTTACTTCTTTTTTTTTTTCCTTTTTCAAAATACTCCTCCAACACTATTACTGTAAAGAACACATACATTGCAAAGCTACAGGTTTGTTGGAGTGTTTTGTAATATCTGGGCATTCTGGAGGAGCAGAAATTCACTAATGCCACATAGCATTTTCCAGTAGTTATAAAAGCACCAAGCCAAAAAGAAAAGCACTGGTAATTTAGGTGACTCTTCTCAACTACAGCCAGGAAGTGTCACAGCAGGATGTGCCTACTGCTAATGCACAAACAAGGAACATTCCTTTTAAGAGCACACACACCAAATGCATCAAAACATAAGTATTTGGTAGAACTTGGCAGGCTCAGAGAATTGAAGAGACAGTGCAGTTTGATGCTTTTCATCCCCCAGTATATTTGCTTTTCCATACCAATTATTAAACAAAGTTACAGGAGACTGTCTATGGACCTGGTATTAAAACAGGATTTGTAAGCGCAACAGAATGAAACTCTCTGTTGTTCCTCCAGCAACAATTAGTCCTACCCAAGCTGTATTTCTGAAAGAAACAGTTAAAACTATTATAAGCCTACCCATTTCCCCATCGACGAGGTGTAATATCATAAGTGCACCATTAATATCTCCTGTTACCAGCAACTGTCAGAGACCACTGGGCTTGCTGGATCCTACATTTGACTTGTGTTCCTGTACAGGCTGTTTGCTTTTGTTCTTAGCTGTTCATTTTTCCACAATCTTTATACATAAACATAAATGCTTGCCCTTCCATCACCACTAACATTATATCCAGTCTCTAAATCTCATTCAGTTCAAGCTACTGTCCCTAGGACATTTCATATGCCTCCAATAAGCAAGCCATACAATGACTCACACATAGAAGAAATCTGTGCAAATACATATTATATCTACATGTTTTCCTTTCAGCTTGGTGTCATGCTCTTGTGCCTGGAAATCATGTAACATGCTGGTCTTAAGAAGCTGCATTGAAGACAAGTACTTTGCATTCCATGCTGCAAATTTTACTATACAATATGATCTTTCATTATGGGAGAAGCTTGTCTCCTTACCCACTGTCTGTATCAGATGCATATATGTACACTTTTATCACTTTTGTATGACACTTAACATTTTCTTAAGCAGTAACCACTGGCTCTCCTGCTTGATGCAGGGACACTTTTCTTGGTGGAAAATTCTATTTCCCAAAGCACCTTTCTTTGTAAATTCATATCTTGCTGAATATTATTATGCTGTTCCCCACTGTACATCCATGTTCAGAAGTTTCCCACCGCTTCCAGTGGGACAGATTTTCTTCTTCTCCATCACAGTTGGTCAGTTCAAGCTAAAAAACAGGTTTGATGGGTCCTGCCATATTGCTTTACAGGCTACAGCAGCATGGCAGCTGAATCAAATTTACGTGTACAAGAGAGACACTAATGTCTCAACTTACTTTTTCTTTTTCATACCTGAAAGTTAACCTAAGGATGTTCAAATGCTCACGATGAACAATTAATTTAAGACATTCAAGGTCTGCAAGTATTTTTCAGGCACAGCATTACAAAGCACTCCTGCAAAAACCATCTCCAGCTGCATTTCTATATTGTGTCCCTTAATTACTTTGGTTTGGCCTTTGATATCTAGCCTCTCGAGCTAAATCTCACTCGCTCTCCTTTGCATATTGGTATATATTTACTTCATATAAACACTAGTTTTGTTGTCTAGTTTCTAACTGCTTTTAATATTTTTGTTGTTGAAAGTAGTAGAATGTCTTAGAAATTAACAAATGTTTCTTTACAATTACAAATTACTTTTCAGGTTCCTGTTTCTAATGGTTTTGTTCTTTAATACAATGTTTTATTTTCATCAGAACTAATATAGTGAACACTTAAAAAAAAAAGCCAAGCCAAACAAACCAAAACCCAGAACAAACCAAAACTTTAGAGAAATCAATTCCCACACTCCAGGGTAGAAAGATCATTTCTACCTACTGTATTTTCCCTGTGCTGTTGATACCTTCATCACAGACACTAAAATTAAACTGGCCAAACAATAGGATTTCTAAAATTACATAATCTATATCCACCTTTTACTTTTTAAAAAAAATATATACAATGCTGGAAGATTTACAAATGGAACTGTATTAATGGGAATACAGTATTTATAGGATAAAGTTCAATTTTGACCATAGTTGCATTTAGGCACAGGAGAATAAAACACAGCTAAGTGCCCAAAATTCTGCTGGGCCAAATTAAACAATTTATTTCCAATATAGAGTAATGAAACACTTCTAAATGGCAATTTTCTTATATTATATTGTATTACCCTGGAAGTCTTCAAATATTTAAAGGAGAAATTAATGAAGCATTATTGAAAATTTAAAAAATATATAAAACCCCCTGTATACAAAATTTATTCAATTTTAAGTAATATTCCTTATCAATACAGATACACTTTAGAGACTTCTGTGCAATTATACAAATTAAGACTATTTAGTCTCAGCTCTAAACCTTTGCAGAAGTGTTTTTTTATTTATAAATACAACCATAATCATCACTAACTTTGTAGCCATCCTCAGCACTTCTATTATCTTTAAGACACAGCATGATACAAACCAAACTTCCCCAAAATCATTAATTCCCTGCCTATGGGTTTTCAAGGTGTAGCTTTTCAGGAATTGTACAGAACAGTATTTATTGTAGCAGAAAGAAACAACAATTAGTACTCTAGTTATTTCAAAACTCACCACCAGGATTAGGTGGCTTTTGGGGAAATTTTAAATGGGTAGGAATAAGAGGAGTCTGTAGTAACTCTAATCAATGTCACCAGTTATAACAACTGAGACTAAAGTAAAATGTAAATAAAACCAAAGTTCAGTTATTTGAATTTCTGCTTTTTCCTTGCCTGAAACTCTTCAGTTTTATTTTTGACAGATTTTATTAGCATTGACAAGGCAGGATCTATGGCCTTCTTAGGAACTTCTCCTTTCTTTGGCATCTTGTTCTCCTGCCCCTTGCTTGCTTCCCTAAGATCTTGCTCCTCTTCTCTTCGGCGAGCTTTTTCTTCCAAAATCTTTTCTACAGCTTTTGTCTTCTTGAAATTAGGATCTGAAGGATCCAAATTAAACAGAGGAGACGTGAACATGGCTTGGAATCTTGTATCAGCAACATTTACCTGAAGGCAGAAAAAGAGCATTTATTTAAAGTAACCTTGACCCATGACAGCCAACTTTTAAACATAATAAAATATGAGCTGCTTAAGGAATCGTAGCTCATGAGATTGCTCACAATTCCTGGAACTGCTCCAGTCACAAAATCCCAGTGAGTGTGAGGTAGAGAGCCAGCAGACACTATTGCTACAACAGACAAGCAACCACTTGTAGAACCTTGGATATGCCTCTACTGGCAGATCAAGGAAAAGTCTGTTGTTGAGAACTGACCAGGATGAAAGAAGCAGTGGATAATTAGAACAAATATACCAATTAGTATTTTGGGCAGTGAGTTGTACAAGGTCTTGGATAAAAAATGTCTTGTTATCTTACACAACGTTTGATTATGTCCCTCTTCAACCTTTTATCAGATTATTTCTTGTATTTTGAAAACAGCTAGTAACTCTCTAAAAAGCTAGATCTAGGTTGTTCTCCTTCCGATAAAGCAAGGGAGGAAAAAGAGATGAGAGCACCAACTTTGTCCTGAAAATATCTGGTATTACCAAGGTTCTAGCTGAGCTAAAAACCAGGAGTCCACCATTACCTGGAAGTCATCTTCTAGTAATTCTTTCTTTTTCATTAAGAGTTTCTTCTTCTTCTTGCTCAAATTCTGTTGTTCTACAATCTTTTTATAATTAAAATGTTTTCTGGTATCATCATCATCATCCATCAGAAGTAGGGCCATTTCAGCCTGTTACAAAATAAGAAAGTCCATGTACACAATGAAATTAATGAATTTTGTAAAAAATACAGCATCTCATTATTGACGTCTGTGTGGGTCTATATACATATAAATGAGTTAAAACAGGCCTTTCAGGGCAGTATGATTTCGTCCACAACAACATTCTGTTAACATTTTGAGGTTTAATATTAAATACAACAGATTATTTCCTTTTTATTAGATGTAAAATAAACACAAATACTTTCAAACGTACTAACCATCTAATCTGAAAACTACACCACAACTTAGAAATAATTAATGGATCAAATTTTATATTGATATTTATACAGCAAAATAAAAACTAACATATGTGCATTTAATACATTTATTTTGTTCACTTGTACTACGAAAGAATGAAAAGCAAACATGTATACCAAACCATTCAATTTTCAAGGCTAAAAGTCCACAGGACAAGGTCTGAACACACAAACATTTCATACAATGCTGATGTTAAAACTAAACATTCAGCAATGACCAACACACAAACAAGCTGGGATAGCTTTACAGCTGGAGGGATTATCAGGTCAACGAGTATGGCTTCTGTGCCTTTACTTTCAGTGTTACCTAACTCTGATGAGCTGTGTTCAACGATAATCTTCCAGCAGGATATCATGGAGTTATCTTAAAACATCAACACCTGAAGCATCTACCATTGTTCTTGGGTAATTTTTGTTCACTGTTAAAATTATAGTTTTATTTTATTGCCATCCTATGGAATTCAGTAGTTCTGCCCACAAACACATAAGAAATATTTGCATAACTCAGGCAATACAACATCTGTAATTCTTAACATTTTAAACCACTTCACCTTCTGTTTTTCAACTTCATCTTCATCTTCTGAGGTACTTTCAACTGATTCTGACTTCTTCTTTAAACCTAAGGACAAATGTAGGACATGCACACATTTATTCAAACTTATGCACGAGAGTATAATTAACCTATTAATAGAACCTTTAAGTGCATCTCATTTTCTTGTAATCAATACTTAAATATCAGATGTGGAAAAAGGCTGAAAAGTTAAGAAATAACAGCTAGGCTTAATGCAATAAAAATCTCCTAAACAAAGCAATAAAAATAATGGAATATTTGTTCAATTTAAGAAGGCAGCAATATTCACATGGCATAACAAGTCAATAAAATGAACAGTGAAAAAAAGTGGGTTTACTGTATTTTTCATAGAGCAGTAGAGAAAAGTTTCCCAACAGTGCAGGCAAAGATATGACATTACTCCACTCCCAGGGAGTTTTAAAGATAAATAAGTTTATATACTCATAAATGTAACTGAAGTGTCTGGCAGTTCTCAAATTGTTCATTCTTTCTACTTAAGAAGACAATGTAGTAAATACTTTAGAATAAGAAGTAAATGCGTATCTCTTCTCTGTATCCAGGATACAAGTCTGTCAGAAACATTTTTTAAAACTTACCTACAAGGCTAAAGGACCACATTGTACTGTTAGCCTCGGTAGGGCAAAAACACCCTTGCAAAAAAAGCCTGAACAGATTCACGGGAATTAAAATAGGTTTGATTCTGTTCAGACTGAATGGAAGGCTTCTGATGAAGCCTTCTGACTCTCAGAATTTACTTAAGATACACAGTGCTGATTAGACAGACATAATGAATAATAACAGAATAAGACATTAGTCAAACATACATTTTAATGAAAACAGACCCATTTATAAACCCTACGAAATCAGGTTATTCTCTTTGGAATGCCTTTAGACCTCAATCAAGAAGGAGCGGGAAAAGCAGAAGGCTTCCTGACCTGAACCACATACTTCGACCTTTGAGCTTGGAATTACATTCCCAGGCAATTTATTACAGCCCACTGGGGGTACTATTAAGTAAGATACTTGGCTCCATTTTGTTAAGCCAGATTTGTAGTTAGACTAGAAATATAAACATGCCAGAAAAATGTCAAATTGTGTCACCAAAGTATACTCTGGAACAGGACAGATTTCTTGAAGAACATTTTTTCTCCCTTGACTATCTTGACTATTTCTAAATGGATTCCAAGATGGAAATGGATTTTTAGAAGAAAATAAACCAACACCAAAAGAGAAAGTGTCAAGATGCACAATGTCATCAGCTCAAGAACTAAATTCTTGATATAATAGTTCTAGAAAATGTGCAGGAAAATCAGGTTCAGATACAATATTATTACCTAACCTACACAATTTATGTTAATGTATAGAAGGGAGAAATACACGTCTTACGTAAGACTTCAACAACTCTGAAGTCTTTTGTATCCTCCCAGAACTGGCTAAGCTATAGAAAAGGAAACAGGGCACAGATTCAAACTGGAGACCATTATTCTAGAAGTTAAATCAGTAAATCTATTAGCCTTTCCAGCTATCCCTGAAAGAAGGGCTCCTCAAGTCACCTTCCCTTGTCTTTCACTGCATGTAGTAGCATCACAGACATCAAGACATTTTTTTGCCAAACTCTCCTCTCGGATGACCTCTCATCTGTCTTTCTCAGAAGCTAGAAGAACCAAGTCTCAGAAGTCTTGCACAGACAGTAAATGAATCAGTAATACAGCTAAGATCTTTATCTTTCAAGTACAGGTTCTATAACTATTCTCAGATTTTGCTGTTACTTTATCTCCCCACAGTCATCCTGCTACCTTCCGTTATTAAAAAGCCATCAATTCCTAAATAGATAGTAAATTAAATCCTGAGAAGGCATCAAATGGGTTTGGAAATGACAGAATTTATAATCATGTGTAAAGACACGCAGCCCTTTCCCTCAAGGATCAATAGAAACCATGTTAAAAAGTCTAAACCATTCTGAAACTATTCAGGACATTGCACCAATCTTAAAAAGCAATTACGCTATATTCAGCTATTACTCTTCCAAGTTTAAGCTACAAAAGTCATTCTGTCCTACGTGAACCTTTTCTGAGATCTCACAGAAACACATGAAGTAAGAATGAAACTGGCCAAACAAAATGAGAAGGTTTACAGCATTTTTTTGAAAGAATATGTGCATCAATGTAAGACAAAAGTAGCAAATTGTTTTTTCTTGACAGTATCAAACTAGAATCAAGCTTCTGAAATGCAACATCAAGGCTCATTTATATGCCGCGTTTTACATTTTAGCCTGTGGTACTGTTGAAAAACCACATAGGAATTATGCACACATGAAAACTTTGTGCAAAGCAAGCACTGTTTTAAATTCAGGAGTGCTAATTTACACACACCTGCATCCTGCACAGACACTCTTGGGGCATAGCAGGCACAAAGAATTTGCTCTACCTTGCCTCTCCCGGGATGAAGCATCCATGGTGCAAGAATCACTGCCTGCTTTACAGGAACAAAGACAAACCTGATGCATATATGCTTGAGTAGACTTCCAATAATTTCCAGTTTTCCTTTCACAGCACTCAAATTCGTTAGGCCCTTTGTCTCACATTTCTTGACGCTCTTGCTTCCCTTCAACTGCCTCAGTTTGTCAAAAAATAATTAAAAAAAGAGACCCATACATACTGCAGTAATACAGTGAGTCCAGCATGGGAGCAAAGGCAAAACCCAAACAGCACTACTGCATCCTCGCAGTTTCTGCACTGTTCCACCAGAGTCTGCAAAGGTATCCTGCCATATGCTTTTTCGGCATTATCTAAGATCATCTGACAGTCAATTTAAGGGAGAAATTTCAGTCTTTCAGGGGAATTGTGGAAGGCTTACAAATATTATGATCATTCAAGTTATTGCTGCTTGTACCCTAAATACAAAGTTGGCAGAGATACAGCCCAGTTCAAAGAAGATTGTAACCCATTTTCCCCAACTGGATAAGCCATCTGTGCATAAAAACAACCCCAACTATGAGACATAGGCTGTTCTGGGTAAGCTTGGTGAAAGCCAGACAAAGTTGTGCTGTGTAATCATCATTAAAATGTCACCTGGCTTTCAGCCAACCATTATACTCTCCCTTTAAAACTTCTCCAGGGCTAGCCACATTCTGTTTTCCTCCACTTTCTTAGCAGCTTATCAGCAATCTTGCAGATGATGGCTTCACTTTCTTAACCTTTATGTCTATTTTATTATCCCCAGAGATTCAACTCACACTAAAAGCCTATCCTGTATATTATGGACAAGAAGCTTTAAGAATCTGCAGATACAATCATTCTCTGTTGAGCCCCTCTGTGACACAAGGAGTTTCTTACATAATGCAGAAGAAAATATGTTTTCTCAGAGATTTCACAAGGATTGCTGAATCATCAAATATTATGATGGGAGTACCTACATAATCCTCCTATGGAAAAAAACCCAGACAAAAGTGGTGGAAGGAATGGCATATTTACAATGAGTCCTGAAAGAACCTATACACAACTCACCCAGAAAGCATGGCAGAAAACAGCACTGCACAACACTTTAAATCATGGTGTTTTCCATAAAACATGGATGGACTCTCCCTACTTTTCTGTACTTCAGAATATTAAGACATATACATAAGTGCATTAAGAAGCAAGAAAGACCAGGCTTTGTTTTTTAAGTATTTACTTTCTCCTGAGAAAAGATTCAAACAACCAGGACATAATCCTGATTGGTATCAAATTGAAAGTAATCTAATCCTTTTAAATGAACTTGGATCTGCACTGCTATACTCAAAAAAACAGCCAAAACAGACTGATACTTGTAAAACTATTACCATTTTCTTTTTCTTTGCTTTCTTACTCCTTTTTTTTTTTTTTTTTTTTTAAAATTCTTTTAATATACAGCAGTATGAGCCACCCTTATGTTTTCAATCCCAAAAGAATGGAAAGCCAGGAAACACACACTTAATAACTATCACTTATCTTTAAAATTTTAACCAACAAAATCATACTCATAATAAATTTGCTGTTACTGCAGCAAAAACTCAATTAAACATCAGACTAAAAAGCTTGCAAAAAAGCTATCCTAAACATCTAAAGTGGACAAGTTGTTTTCTAAAATATGACAATTCACTATTTGGGTTTCTAGGCAGCCAGAGCACACCAGAAAAAACGTGTTATCAGACTAAGAGAAGAGAAAATGGATTTCTTCTGGAAGACAATTTTGTTTATGATGCAAAAACATTTTACATTTATGTAAGTGACCCAAACTTCAAGGAGACCCATAGATATCTGGCTCCTTCTATATAAAAGGGAACAGGCTTCGAAGGCTATGAAGTTCTTTTCTCTGGACTATCTAGGGGAGCTGACGGTCAGCTTGTTTCTAACAGCCATCACCAGAAATTGGGAAAATAATGAGCTCTGATGAAAGCTAAGAGAAAATCTTCCCTACATTGCACGTGCAAATTTAGGCAAATTTATTTCACCTCCTTTTTTTCATTCTGAACAGGCTACCTCTGCATTTACTCTAGCCTGACCTTGTTTCTAAAGCTCATTATTTAAAGAAAGGGCAGATTTACTCCAGAAGTCACCTGTCATGACCCACCTGTTTTCTCAAGTTCTTCAGCAAAATATGGGTCATTGAGATCAACATCAGATGGAAGTTCATCTTCACTTTGTTCTCTCTCAGCATTAGCCTATCACAAAGCACAAACACTATTTCTATCAATATCTGATTTCAGTTAAACAGTAGTTTATATATTCCTTCTATGTTAGTAACTATGAAGATGAAAACTGAAATATTCCATGCTGAACATCATGAAACTAGAATATACTAAAAATTGCTAGGAAAGACAAATCAACAATTTAAAATCTGTTTCACTGATTTAAAGCTTTTGGTGTACTTGAAGAAGAGACACCTATGTATTCCAATGATCTTTATTAGATGTACCCACAAACTGTGATGCCATAGCTACCATACCAACAAATTACAGGCTCACAGCATTGTTGTCCTTACTTTATGTTCCATAACAACTCTGCTTGGGGAAAAAAAACTTCAGCAATGAGTTTCACTTTGTGCTCTGAAATTCAAGACTGAGTTTGGATTTAAAAGAACAAATTTTACTACTGGAAGCACTGTGTCATACACTTTGCCCCTTGACTTAATTAATCAGATTGAAGAATATACTAACAAAAGTTATACTACCTAACAGTGCTACTCTATTCAGAGCACTCATTTTCTCTACGGTTTAAGAACTTACTCATCAAATGCCAGTTAAGACTAACTGGAACTCACAGTGTAACTCAAGTTGCAGAGATTGCTTTTAAAAACATTATTCTGCAACATGAATTATATTCAGAGTAATTTAAGACTTTAGGGAAGCTAGATTCTGTATGCCACATGCTTTTTTCCTAGCATATGCACAAACATTTTATTTTTCTGCCTATTTCTGCACATTACTGCCCCAGGAGTCAGTTACTCCACAATTACTTTCTCTGTGTGGAAAGATGAGGCAACAGCAATTTTCACATTACTATAGGACCATTTTGTTACTCATACACACAACTATTTCCCAAATTTGCTCTTGCAATTTGAAATTTGAATAGTTCTTCATGGCTAATAATTCTTTGCCACTAGAGCTTTGGGAAACAAGCCTGTATTATTTTAAGCCAAAAATTTCCAAAACTACAATTATCATCATCATAACAACTTTGAACTGACATGCATGCTGTAGCAAATGGACCCTTTCTAATGCTTTCAAAAATATAAATTAAAAACCAACTATTATTATGACTCATTTATCTTTAAAGCAACACAAGCAGACAAAGAAAATTTTGTGTAAGCAGATACATATGACCAGTAGTGCCCTGAACATCTTTAGCTCTGTCAAGTTTGATAAGGCACTCTCAGTCTTTCCCAACAAATAACCCCTGCACATGGAAACATTAAAGTAGTACTGGAAAGTATATAAGTTTTGTATTTAGTTTAGCCAACACAAACAATAATAGCAACTTAAGAAAACAAATAAAGAACTCCCCCACCAAGTGGCCACTATAAACATTACCTTTCTCTTTTTCTTTAGAATTCGTTTTTCTTTCTTCTTCTCCAGATATTTTTGCCATGGAGTTAGGTTATCCTTTCCTTCCAACCTGTTCTTAACCATTTCTTCAGCAGTTTCTTTGAGGCCTAGAACAAAAAATAGCAAGTTAAAGAAATGAGATTAATCTGATTTATTTTTTTAAATCTAATTTTTCTTTGACAAGTCTGTGAAAGCAACATAAATATTGCTTAAAAAGATGCATTTATAAGTAAGATAATTTTACAGGGTGTTTTTTCCCAAATAAAATATTCCTTCAGTAATAAATTGTACAAGAATCAGAAGAGCTTGCTTATGTGATATCTGATTCCCAACATCTTGCTACTCCTCAGAAAGGGTCTTCTATCCAGACATTAGTCTACAGGTGACACTTTTTAGGAGGGAGAGTAACACAACAAAAATATCAGACCTATACAGAGACCTTATAATTAATATAACCTACTGTAATTAGTTAAGAATACGGTTCGGTCATTCCCATTTTTTCTGCATGGCAAAACAAAGTACAAAAGATTAAGTTACTCGACAACCATTCTGAAATGTTAAATCACTATCAGAATATAGTCATCTCATCCTTGAACTTCTATAGCAGGTGCTCTCCATTTCACAAAGAGGTATTAACTGGTTGTTGCTGTATCAGTATGCCTGAATCACATGTTAAAGTTGCTATTTGTAGCATCTCCACTATTGCACCGTTGCCTCTCTGATAATACTATGACAATGCTGCAGTATCTCTCATGACCAGTGTATTTTTCAGCCTTCATTGTAGAAGAGAACAACAAGCTATTATTTGGATAAATTTAAAGTAAAAATAAACCCCTATCTAGAAAGTACAGAAAACCATAAATAAAAACTCAAAAGAATTTCTTTCATGATATACTAATGTCATAACGTGACATGCATTAAGTTAAACTAGACAAGTTATTTTCAAGTCATCAAGCCTTTAATGCTACTTAGTACCAGTCTGCTTTAACAACAGAAAACAATATAAAATTGGAAAATACCCTGTATGACAGTAAATCTAGATTCAGATGCAATGCTTAAAGAAATAGATTATTTTATTTTTTTTAAAGTATGTGTTAACAGGAAGCAGAGATTAAGGGCACAGACTTCTTGAAACATCAGCTTCTCAAAGAAACAAAAATAATTGAAAGAATGCTTTCTCTTATCACTGATTATCAGTTCAAATTGTAATAACTCAAGATCAAAAAAAGAAGCAGCAAGAGAAATAAACCATCCTCTTATTTGGTTAGCCACACCAAGTTACCAAAAGTAATGTTTGTATTGAGCAGCTACATGACCTGAAAGATCAAAGGCAAAGAGCACCATTCTCTCACTGCATTTGGTGAGGAACTGGAACTATTACACCATTAACTCAAACCTGCATCTCTTCCACATTCTTTTGCTGCAGGAATGGGATAAGAGAAGCCCTCAGGTTTGTGTTTCCTGACCTGCCAACAGCTGGGAAAGGTGGATACATATTTTGCTGAAGGAATTTTCCTCTTTACTTTCAGAGCATGACAGTTTTCCAAGGGACTTAGAAAAGGAATTTAATAGAAGTGCAACACATCTGTTTCTAAATAATTCTAGCATAACAGGATCAGACAGCAAGTTCAGATGTGTTAATTAGGTTTGCATTAAATTCCATGATTTAACACAGACTGCCATTGTGTGAAAACCTAGCACTTGAAGCTGCATGCACAAGTATGTCCTAATCTTTAATTTAGCCTTTTTGCAAATATGCATTTCAATAGTTTCTCATCACATGATCACACTTTACCTTTCCAGAGGATCTTAACCATTTCATCTACAGATCATGAACATGGAACTAACTACTCTGTATTTTGTGTTACCATTCAACGTACAGCTAAGTTGCGGAACATAATAACATATAGCAAAATCACCAACAGAATCAAACCCTACTCTAGAAATGGAATGGAGTTTTCTCTAAGATGTATTATTACAGTATTCAATGGTGCAAGAATATCACCTTAAGAAAAGTGCATTCCCATTTTACATCTAGAATGTTTAAAACCAGAATAAGCACTGAATTAAAAAGCCATCTTCATTTTTCAATGAAAAATTCCATATACTTCAGAAATGCTTTTTCAAATGTCTTTACATCACACAGCACTTGCACGTTATGAGGATAACTACTGACTTCAGATGTAGCTTATACACTTTCAGCCCCTTCTTCGCAAGGCAGGCACTTGCAAAACCAAAACTTCATGATGTAAAGAGATTAACTGACTGTGGGAAACTGTTCTTCCCCACATGCTTTGCAACACACTAGTGCAGAATTCAGTGGCAGAAAGACCAAATTCACTTTCCTAGCAGAAGGCAACAACCTGAGAAGTTAAATACTTTTCTCCTACCTGCAATTCCTTGCTTCATTTACTTTGGTTTTTTTTTTTTTAATTTCAGTAACAAATGAGTCAGACATCCTATAGCAATTCTCCTCTTTTTCAACATGACTGATAGATCTTGGAAGTATGTAGGAATCCTTTTTCTGCTTCCCTCTCCAAGTCTGACACTTGCCATCTCTTCCCCAATTCTATTTGTTCTAATTGTCAGTCTTCAGCAGTCCCTTCTATCCCCCATACCAGTTTCATTGCTTGGACCTCTCCAGATGTCCTAGTCTAGATCACAGTCTTTCTCCCAAATCCCAGGCTTCTCATTTGGCCAATCTCTGCTCCTTGTCCCACCTTCCAGCTCTCCTCAGTAACTAGGAAATAGAAATAATGGGCAGGATTCATGGACAGCTCTACCCATCCTCAGAAAAGCAGGCAGAACACAATTTTCTGAAAAACTGCAAGCACCAATTCCTGTACTTGTGTTTGTCTACACTCCAAAAATAATTCAGAGGCCAGAGAGCTGGTTACAACATGTCTGAAATGCTAAGACAAGATCTAAAATAATATTAAATCATGCCTTATAGATAGAAAAGAGTACGGCAAAATGAAGATAAAATGTCCTTCTACTCCTGCAAAGAATCCAGAATAAACAGTAAGAGGCAAACTGTTAGAAACACAAAAATTGGGTACTAAACCAGCAAACAAATGAGGAGCCAGGATAAAGGAAGGATATTGTATAGGTTCCCTAAAAACATGCCACTTAGAAACCCTCTCATATAGCAAGAACAAATATTTAGTTATTTCCAACTGTACACCTCTTCATCTCCAAAGTCAATGCAAGCAGAGTCATCACCTTCCCAGAAACTGAACTACTATTACTTTGGATATTACTTCGCAGTACTTTTGTGGAAAAAATTACTAGTCAGGTAGCAACCTTGCAGATTCTCTCTGAAGACAGTAAATACTGGATTAAAAAAAATGTATGTCACAGCTCCAGAAAAAGAGAGACCCAAAATCTCAAAGGAGGTAACAAGATTTCTGATTTATTTGCCTGGAAAATGGAATTATTTGATTCATCTGGCACAGAAGGACTTGAGAGGAAAACACAGCCCTTTCTTGTGGTATTTGGCAGTCTCATGAAAGGAATTAGAGTTTCTCCACAGATTAGAATGGCTCAGAAACTACTGTCCAGACCACTTCCCAAGAATTAAGAGTGTATTTAAGTGGTCAAAAGGCTTTTGATTGCAGAAGAGCAAAGGAATTGTCTGATTTGGGTAAAATTATTAAATGCCCATAGAAAAGGCTAATTTATACCCTTATCAATAGCAGTTTTTTTCAGAAGAAATTAATCACGTGTCTTAGTTAACCTCCACAAATAAGAGCCAGGAAAAGAGGGGGAAAACATCATCTATATTAGCATACAACTAAATCATACCTAAGCTAAAGGATTGAAGTGTGATAAACGCTGTAAGAAACCTAAATATATTGCTTCTCACACTGGTGGGAGCAAGGGAAAGTGGGCAGATCAGAATTTTTACTTCTCTAAACATTTCCGAAAATGTTGGGAATTTTAACACCATGCAATTGTCACAATTATTAGAAGCTAAGATGATACTTCTCTATTCTCAGAAAATCTAAATGAGCAATTTCATCTTGTATGTAATGTCTTATCAGAAAAAAGAAACACCTTGTTGCAGACAGCTAAAAGGAATGGCAGACAGAAATATTCTGCTAACATTAGAATTTGTCACCCTTGAAGATAAGAGACCTCTAAAGTTAAGAGAGTTTTCCTAACATAGTATAACTGCCTGAAAAAAACCCACCACACTTGGCAACTAAGATGTCAAGTGTGAAGAACTCCAGTACTGAGCACGCACTGCTTTGTGCTGCAGGAGGTCAAGTAAGAGTGCCTCAGAAAGAGCACACATGAAGCAATTTTATAGATTGAGAGATATATTCCATATGAATATTTCTATGCTCTGTTTCATCTGTAACAACATACAGTTCGGGGTCACTATGCACTTTTCAGAGACATGATTGCTGGCCATTCTACTTCTGATGAAAACAAATTTTAAAGTTTCCTTTAAGCCTACCTAAATATTTACCATCTCACTCTTCCCAAAGGAAGAATTTTCAAGTCAAATTAAATAAAAAAACCAACCTACACAAAAAACAGACTGCATGTCATTAAGAAGTACAATTGTGGTATTCTCCCTCTTCAATTTCTAAAGGGAGCTTTGGAAGCTGGATAAGGATGCATAGTAATTGTTCCTCAAATCAGATATGATTAAGAAAACAGATGGATGCTTAAAAATAACACAAACTTTGTGCCTAAAAGTAACAGTCCAAAGAGACTTGGAACAACATCTAATTTATTTTTGCTGGCACTGTGGTTTATTTAAAACTATTATGATTCAAGAATAACTGAATCATTCACAAAGTATGCTTTCTATAACCATGTGTAAATATTTGTGCCAAAACTCAAATTTTTAAATTAATTCAAATCTCTGCCTTTCAATTGAAAAGCTTCCTAGATTTAACTGCTGTAACTCAAAGTATATTAAACATTTGGGCAGGAAAAAGATTTTGCAATAAGTGAAACAGATTAAGGCAGAGCTTGAAATAAAAATATTTCAACAGACATAAACTAGTTCTGAAAAAAATTAAGGAGTCTTAAGAGATTAAAACAAAAGCTATTTTTAAATTCCCAGAATGCTCCAACATAACTAAATTGGTTTTGAATTTAAATAAGCACATTTGTTCAAGAAAAAAAACAAACCAACACATATCCAATGTATTTCTCTCCCATAAAAAAGCATAGCCTCAACTGCATATATATTGCCAGACCTATCAACTACTGTTCAGTATGTGCTGAGTGTGCTCCACTGTAAATCTCCCTTTCAGGTGTGCCTGAAATCAGTAATGGCTAAAGTGTTCCCATACATTAGAGTCAAAAGCAAAGTTAAGGCACTTCACTTTTAGGACAAAATCATATTCCTGGGGCTAACAGCTATTGACTAATGCTATTGACTGGCCTTGGAGATCAACAGTCTTAACTAGCAAAGGCAAGTGAACACTTCTATGATTTTCAAAACCCGTGCTCTTTGATAAACTTTTTCAGAGTAAGAAAAGAGGAAATGCTAACATACAGTGTAAATTCTTAGTTGCTAAACTGACATAGATTAGAACTACCACTGTAAACTTCAATGTGCCTGCATGCACATTCAACCTATCACTATATGAACAAATCTGGCCCAGTGCACAGACTCCCAAATGACTCTAGACAAAATCAGTCATATTTACCAGGATAGGGATTTCTCATCTGTTTGTTTTTATGTTTTTTTCCCCATCCCTCCCTCAAGATAAATGAGGATAACAGCAAAAGTCCTAGGAGCCCCATAAGCAGGTGCAGGAAGGAAGGGGTTGGACTAGATGCAATATGAAACAAATCCAATTTTCTAAAGTCAAGTTCAGTTGCAAAAAAACAAGGAGCCCTTGTGTTAAGGAATTGGATTCCACCTCTACTACAGTTCCTCAATGTTAATATAATTTACTTGTAACATGCAAATAACAGTTTTAAGAGGCAGAGCCTTTCAGAAAACTTCTTGCTTTCCTTGTGCAATTTCTTACATCTAACAATTTTCCATCTCCTCCAATGAATGTTTTGCTCTAGATTTCTAACTTTGTCACCACATTACATTGCCTAGACTTTTTTAATTAACAGAACTTCATTCATAAAAATTCCAAGTCAACACAAAAAAACAGTAACTTTTCTAACAATGCCTGGCCTATATAAATACAGAACACATTCCTAGCAGCAGTTGTTTTGACTGGTTTCCACCTTCAGTCTGAAAGGTGGCAACAACCAATCTTTAAAAAATCTTATAATGGCTACCTATGTATGAAAACTTTTTTGCCTTGAATGCTCAGTGACCCAACGAATTTCAAGAGTGCAAATACTGACACGCTGTGGACAGATGAAGTAAAACATGATTGTACACTTGTATGAGTAAGCACTTGCCGGGTCACACATTATTGATACTTTTTCTAAAGACGTTTCACAGAATTTGTAACAAATTACTGGAATCATAGAAGCATGACTGAAAACTATTTTTAATGCCAGTGTATACTTTTGAATACTGATCTTATAAAAAAAGTGGAATAAAACTATTCTATTCAGTTAAGTAGATTTCACTGACTCAGACAAGAACGAGATTTGAAACATGAGGATTTACATTCAACAAAAGTTACCTGTGTGAATGCAGATTAATTTTAGTGTAAATCAGATAATTAGATATGCATTAATAGCTGGAATTAATACACTGGAGGTGAAGAGGCTGGATTCTAATATGTCTCTGGTGTCAGTATTTACAACAGCAGATCAGTCTGTGTCCTTACATAGTTTGCAGTCCTACAAAATACTGAGCCAATACAGCATCCTGCTGCCATGGAAAAGGTGATGTCACACCTCCCTAATACTCAAACTACGTAATTCAACCCTCTCTGAGCATTCACCAAATGCTTCTATTTGCCTACCTGACTCACTAACCCAGCAGAATAAAAATCCAGATTTTTTCTTTTCCAGAGTAGTTCTGCTGTTTTAGCAAGCAGAATTAAGATACCTAACAAGTGCTGGGGCTAGTACAGGCAGTCAGAATGAGCTACGGGCCAGGACCAAGGAGGAGAGTGAAAACATTTCCTTTTTTGTATGTAGCAAGTTCTTACATTGGCTCATTGCATCTCAGGGAAAGCATACATTCATTAACAAAATATAAAAATCAGTCCAAATATCTTTTCATCATGAAGGAAAACAACGTTGTTTTTTAGATCTCGGGATGAGTTCTGCTGCAAAGCTATATGGTGAAGTCATCTTTCTTTAATTTCCAGATCAAAAGCTGCATGTCACTAAATACAACCAAATATTTAAGATCTCTTCCAATCCAAACCATTCTATGATCCTCCAACTTTCCTTCCAGGTAGTTTTCTTTCCCACAGAGCCATCTGACTAGGAGGTCAGACTTCTCATTTCTCTGTTGCCCCAAATCTTCAGCATTATGCAAGAGTTTCAGACCGTTTTCCTCTAATTTTATGCTGTTTCCAAATCACACTGGTTTTCATTTTTAGAAACATAGGTATGTTTTAGGACTCTGACAAACACATTCATTCTATTCAAGACCATCTATAAAGTGATGAATGAAAAAGGAAGTAGAAAAAAAATATGGAAAAAAGTAAGCTGTAAATAGGAGCTTACAACTGCAGAACTGAGTTCAGCCATATTATTTCTTCTATTTCCCTCATAATCCATCTGGATTTCAATTTATGGAAAAAAAGGTCAGTTTCTACTATTATAAATCCAACACATTATACTGTATCCCTATTAGCAGGCCAATACTGCAAATCCTCCAAGTTAGTAAAAGAAAAATATAAAACTTACCTGGAACCCATTTAATCTCCATCCCTATATCTTTTTCTTCCTGTTTTTTCTCTTTTTCTTGGATACTTTGCAAAAGTTCTCTGTACTTGGCAATTTGCTCTTCATCTTCTTTTTGACTTTTCCTGGGTTTGTCATCTTCCACTTCATGAGGTACATCACCACCTCAAAAGAGAGTAAAGTTGTCACAGACAGCCTCAAGAAAGCAATCAACAAATGTTTAGTAAACACACCCAAGGCACATACATTGTTTCTAAAAAACTGTCTAAAACTTTTTCATCTATTATTCCCCTAAAGAGTAACCAGTTTTAGAGTTATTACTGAGATGAAATAAAAATAACATCTGGGAAAAAAACAAAACGACAAACAAAGAAAAGAAAATTTGTCCAGCAAAGGAAATCTCTGATTGGAAACAACATCCTTTACTGCTTTTTAAAACTATTAGTTTCTGAGTCCCTTACAGCAGACTAGTACTTAAATATCAAAAAGTAGCTGAGTAAAGCACTGTGGAAATAGAGTGCTACATTTTAACAAATAATGCTTGCAAATTTCTGTAACCGAGATAATTATTCTATGCCTTAATCTTCAGTGACTTGCTGAACCAACAAAACTAACAAATGCAGCAAGATGGAAAGAGGGGGTGTTTCTTTTTCTTTTTTTTTTTTTTTAGAAAAAAACAATTACAATGCGACTTAGAATAAGCTTTTTAAAATGTTTCAGAGAGAACTGACTTTTAAGGTTTTAAACATGCTGCAGTTCCTTACACTGTAGAAAACTAGGTTTGGGGCAGGCTCTTTTTTTTTCCTTTTTCTCTGGTTTAGCAGTAAAGCCTTATTTCCTACAGCACCAAGCTGCATGGGCAGCATAACTGGTGTCTACAAAGTCAGATGGCAGTTTTAAGTTAACACAGAATGACCTCTAGTTTTTGGCTAAAACTTAGGTGTGACATGGTTGTTCTCTTCCACATTCCATCACAAGAAGCTGGCTTTTGGCTGGGAGCAGAAATCTTTACCACTCAGTTAACTGCAGCTGCTTTTCCACTTTCCTCATCAGTAGCTGGGATCTCTTAAGAGGAAAGCATCTGCTCAACTGAAGAAACTAAGAAAGGCTCCCTTTTAACTGGGTAAGTAAGGAGTACCAATAAATACAAATCTGAAAAAATACAAATACCAGTTAAAACAAATATTTATTACTGGTTTTGTTAATTTTGCTAGGAGAAATGTAAGTGGCAATGCATATTGACATACTTTCTCATTTAGCTAAAATGTGCTTCTGTTGTCAAATGTTCAACATCACCTTCAAAAAACCCTTAAGAGCCTTTTCATTTTTAAGCAACAAAAGAACACTTGACAACATCTGCAAGAAAAGAAAAATGAACTGAATATGTTCTCAAAGTTTGTTCAGAGTTCAAATAACCTTGTCACTAGCTTTCAAGTATCACGCTGTATTGCACAACATGAGGAACCACTTTCTGATGGATATTAAGGCAGTAATTATTTCTGCCAATAGCTTGTTCAAAGACTTTTTGAACAAAACACAAACAAAACAAAGTTCTGGTGCATTAACAGCTGCAAGGCAGAAGAAATACAATTAAGAGGAAAAAAAGGTTAACCTGTGAAGGAAAAAAAGGCAAAAGCTGATGAAATATAGCCTAAAATAAAAGTAGATTCTTACTGGTTTCAAGGAAGAGTAGTAACAGAAGTGATAAACAATTAAAAAGAAAAAAATAAATAAATCATGAGGCAGGTCAAAAACATGCCAATACAATAGTTTGTAGGGGGATTTTGTTTGTTTTAAAAAGCTGTAATTCATCAAAATATAAGCAAATGGAGAGGATCAACACTTTGAATTGCTGATTGACACCTGCGTTAGCTGGGATCACGTTCCTGTAACCACAGGGGTTTGAAGATACCACATTCTTAGTTTAAGATTATCTTGCAATGGCTGAGAAGATAATTCTCTTATTTTTTTTAGCTCAGCCTTACAAACTGAATAGAGATGAAAAATTACAGCAGACACAACATTTGACAAGAGATCTGCTCCAAAGATGAGATTCTTCTAAAGATGGAAAGATAAAATTCGCCCTCACACCAGAAAATTCAGCTATTGATCTTAATGCTTATGGCCATACCATAAAAATGCACTGTCTTGATTCTATCCCTAAATACTCCTAAAAGTCGGATCCTTGTTACTTTTGAAGCAGCAGTAATGCCTGAGTGTCCAAAGCAGCTATACAGGAATAAGGGACAGCAGCTAACCCAAAATAACATCCTAATTCAATGAATTTTATAAACACCCATTGGATTCAAGGACAATATTAAATAACTGCATGTTCTATGTCTGTCACCTTCCAATTATTAGCCTTCTATAATAGTTCTAGCAAATATAAACACATATGAATCCTATTCATTTTTAAGACAGCTGTACTGTCATGATGAAATATTAAAACTGCATTTAAATTTGCATACACAGTCAGAGTTACTTTATCAAATAGGCTTCAGAATTGTAAAAAACTGTCCGATTTTAACACCAATCACTAAATATAAGATTACCAGCATTATTAAAAAAAAGGAAATCTCTATCCAGCACCTCTTCCTTACCAACATCTACATTTCCTTTCTCTGCACTTTCTCCAGCATGGGTGCAGCAGCACAAAACCAATCACCTTCTGTTTTTGTAGAGTCTTGTACTGGAAGCAGAACACTACAAGAGACTTTGCTCCCTGCTCAGACTCCTACTGTGGAGAGCAGAGCTCTACCTGGAGTTCCCTACAAGCCTCTTGGTGCTCCAGAAGTGTCTGGACAACTCTTAAATGTAAGGTTTAACTTTCACGTTGCTCTTTGTGGAGTCAGGACTTGGACTCAACAATCCTTGTGGGTCCCTTCCAACTCAAGATATTCTATTTATTCTATTGCTAATTAAAAATACATTGGCAAAAGTATGTTGTCATATATTCTACTCAGGTATTCTGTGTGGCCATGCAAAGCAGAACAGCAGAAAAGATGATGTTCTTGCAAAGATTAAAAGAACAGAACAAAAGCTTAGACATGAAAACCATAATGCTTGATTTGAGGCATCATTTAAAAGTCCCTACACTAAGTCACTGGTGTTAATGGTCAAAATAGCAATTATGGGCTGGATTTGATGCACACCACAAATGCTTCCTAACTGGAACAAATGCATCCAAGTAACAGAAAATTCAGAAGCAACGTAAAAGAGCTTCTTTGTGCTATGAACCACAACATACCAGGGCACTGAAATTCTTGACATTACAAAACTGTTGTATAATAGTAATACTAACATTCATGACACACATATTTTAAGTTGAAAAATTCCAGAAAAAATAGATTAGAACAGGTCAAGAAAAATTTGTTTATAAATAAAACATTTTCATAAGTTTAAAAGAATAAAAGTGCAGGACATATTATTTGCCTCTTATCACACTCCTACATTCCCTTTCAGGCAGCTGACATTGATTTTTCCCATTTGTGCATAGTGCCACATAATTCTGCTGGATGGAATCCTGTTCTGTATCACTAAAATTAATGGATAAAAGGTCAGGAACATGTTAAAGACATGGCAACATAATTCCTCTATTAATAACTTACTTTTCAAAACATCATTAGACATTCTCAGGTTGAAAATTTATTAGTGTGATAAGAATACTTAAGGTCAGTTTCTCTTCCTTCCCAGCAATGGAAGTTTACTTTTTAAAATTTCTTTTCACCACCCTATTACAGATGCTATTCTTTAACACAGCAGTAGTCTTGTACGTGAGAAGATGGCAATACTTTACTCTGCATCTACTGCTCTCATTTAGATATTTAACAAACATTATTAGAGAATAGAAAGATCACAGAGGTGTAGTTTATAAGTGCGTTTTTATGCAAGATGAGGAACAAATGGACATTAACCCTGCCAAGATATTTCCAAGCTGAGTTTGCTGCCAGATTTCCCAACTCTATAACCAGAAAATTGTAATGTTCTTTTGCACGCTCCAAACTCACCTCTGATGGCGACAATCTGCTTTAATGCAGTATAAATCAATTTTAATGTCTATTTAAAAGACTTGACTAAGGCTTAATGACATTTTCTTTGCCTTGTAATTTAGGGTCTACATTTTTATTAATTAAGAACAGACTGAATTTTAGAGCAAAAACGAAAAAGGGAGTTCAGGAATCTGCATTTTGGTTGACCATATATGGAAAATTTACGTACCTTATGAAGTGAGATGACATTCTCTTTATATTTTTCAGAAGTTATGTATGAGAATCACTGAAAGATGTTACTACTTCACTCAGAACACTCTTTAAGTGTTCTGCTGCTTGCTTTTCCCCTCATTATGTAAGACCTATAGCTTAGAAGCACCAGAAAGCACATGGCACAGCTTTTTTCCTCTGCCATTCACACTCCCTGGTAACCCAAGAAGAGCTACTGCTGGAGTGAAAAAGTTCTGTACAATCTACATCTCCCTCTACATCTTTACATCTCTTTCCACATGCTGTCTAGGCCATCCCAATAAGCAGTCGTAGAGCAGCTTCTTCAGTATCTCCTTGCCCAGCAGACACTTCAGCATGTGCATAGAGGGCCACAAAGAAGACAAAACACTACATTAACCTATGAATAGATTTCTGCAGTGGGCATTGAACTGCATTCATTTAGTCATGAACTACTTCACAAATAAACTACGAATTTTCCTCTGAAAAGGAAGAACCTCCAGTTCTGTTGAAAATTTTATCTCAGAAATAAAGAGATTAAAGTAGCTCTTTAGCACCAAACTTGACAAAAGAAATGTCAAGGTACCTTAAAAGAAGCAAAGAGAGGCATAGGAGGAAAAAAAATAGTGGAAGAAAATTATATTACACTCAAAGGTGCAAGCTCTATTCAGAAAGCAGCTCACCAGGGGTTCAACCATTAGAATAACTCCTAATCACCTACCATATGGTAATATTTATCAGTGTTATTCAAACTAGTTAATTCAAAATAGTTAAATGCCTTCATAAAGGCAGCAGATCTTCATTCAGCATCGAGCAAAACAGCTACATTTCTTGAGAAAATTATTCAAACATATGATGAAATGCAACTTTAACAGAACAATCGTATCAGCAATAAAGAAAATAAGCTATGATTCCCATCACCTGTGATCTTGCCACTTGAAATAAGTCAAGTTATCATCATTATGCTTGGCTTAATCAAACATTAATTATATCATGTAAAGAGATTTTGCAGTACAGAAATGAAAACCAGAAAGCTGTTTTAAAGGTAGGGTGATAATACTGAAGTCAAACTCCCACTAACAAATCCTTTCAGTAAACTGTAACACCAAATTCAGCTTTGTGTTCAAAATTAGTGTAGCAATTTTAGGGTCATACTGGTAGCGACATGATTTATCTGGAAAATCCTAATCAGGTTTGCATAATGAACTGTGGCTTTAGAGATAGTGATTTGAAAGCTTGTACATGTTTTTTCTTATAATGTATAAAGAACACTGGAAAAGTCAAACAAACAGAAAAGAAAGAAAAAAGGTATGTCAAGTTTGAGCAAATTCAAAGAACTCTACAGCTTCCATGTTAACAATCCGAACTCAAACATTTATGAATCCTTAAAAAAAATGTTAGCACCTGTCAGTATTCTGTCATCAATCCATTTATTTCCTAATTGAAAAGAGCAAATAAAATATACCAACACGCTCACCACCAATTTCCCTCCACCTGCAGGTCACACACACAGAAAGTAAGTACATGCCACTTTTGGAGATGTTTAGCTCTGGAGGACAGGTAGCTTATTTTTCATAATAGAACCTGACCACAGCTTTTATATGAGTGCATTATTGGCCTTGTAAGACAACGCTCAAAGCTCTTTCTTAATATATGGATTTTATACGTTTAAGTAATTAGTATTCAAAATACTGTAGCCAACGACTTTGTGGACATTTATTAACCGAAGTACCTTGCTGCTCTTCCTCCTCTTCTTCACTAGACGAAGCCAAATAAGCTTGAAAATCCATGTCAAGAAGTTCCTCCTTTTTAAAAGTTCTGCTAAGTGATGTTACTCGTTCATGATCTGTCTCGTCCCATGTGATATCTACCTTTAAAAATAAGAATCCCACTTGTTGAAGCTGAAACACTGAAATTAAACATTTTAAGTCTGTCTTTTTAGATAAAATTATTTGATACCTTCCATTTAAGAAGCAATGTAAACCTGTTACTAATGTTGTCCATGACAATTAGCTATAATAACCATGTAGTAAAATAAAGAATTACAACTTTTTTTAATTTGTTCTGCAATGAGTTTGAAGGATTTTTAACTACATGAAAGAACAAAGAAGACTCCTCATGCACTGAACGGCTCTCTGACATGAAATCTCTGTAAGCAAATTTCCTATGTGGCAGCAGATACTGGTGTAGAAGCAGCCACCAACTCCTCTCCTTTCCTCATTCAGATGCAACTCTCTCCTGGAATCAGGCATGGATTCCAATGGGGACAATGAAAGTGTTTGCACAACTGCACCCTCAACTCAGAAGATGAAACAGATGTGACTGAAAAGTGATCCAGCAGAAATGACTTCTCAACTAATCTCTTCTCTGATCAAGTTCACTAAAAGGCCAGATGGAAGTTTTGGCTGTCACAAAAGACAGAGTAGGAATGAATATTTACATGGAGAGGAAGCAACTGTTTAAGCCTGGAACTACCACCAAAAAGGCTCTTGTTGAGCTACACACAAACACCATTTTAGGCAAACTAGAAGATTTAATTGTGAATAACAAAGTAATCCAAGTATATCTTGTAATAGAGGTATAATGAGATTAAAATATTGTATTTAATTGGTAACAAAGAAGCCAAATCTCTTTTAAAATCCAAAACTAGAGCTTTTTTATGGGGTTGCAACTTGTGGCTCTGTTACACATCTTTCAAAACATCTGAAATGGAGAAGATAATCAGGAATCTCTTCTCCACTACTTATATGAGTTGACAATAATACTAAACGAATTAGAAGAACATTGCAAAAACATGGTAAAGATACCTTTGATGTTCCCATAGCAGCAGATGTGAAGTACTTTGGTTTATATACAGCTACGTTCACTTCTGAGGCTGCATCTTTAGGCATATCTTCAAATGTAACGCTATCTGGAATAAATCTGACAGGCAAATAAAACATGTTATTATTCAAATACACTAGGAAATTTCGTAGTATAAATAGTCTAAGCTGTTCATAAGTATGGTACCTCAGCAGAAAAGAATTTGCTGAAGTAACAAGTTGGTCTGCCTGAAAAGGAAACAAAATAAATTGACAAGTACTCCACAGGTGTAGGATTCACTATCAGGCTTCTGCACAGCTATTTCACAGGTTTTGGATGTATAACACCACCATCTTGGGGAAGTAAACTAAACAATTTTCAGTCAAGTAATAGCAGAATCAGGGGTGGGTGTTTTGGATGTTTTGTTTGTTTTAAGAATTATCTTTTCAGAACACTTACTATTAAAAATTCAGAAAAAAAAGAATGAATAAAATATATTTTCAAACAGATAAATTAAAAAAATTCAAAACATTTTAGGAAAGCCTGGTATATTTTTAAAATTGACAGGGAAAAATGTTTAAAAGATTAAAGTCATGTGCAACAACAGAGTAAAACAGATTAAAAAAACCCTTTGTGAGCTACATGAGAAGAAACTTGGGCTTTTTTAAAAAATAATTGCAAATGTAATATGATTAATACTATTCAACATTAAAATATAACAAAGTAGATTAGGAAAAGCTGTGTCCTGTAAAACGTTATCTGTCTATGTTTAAAAGCATGAAAAGTTTCGTGTTCGTTTGGCAGAGACCATCTTCTCCAGAATGGTTCAAAGCAAATGAATCAAGTTCCTCTAGAAAATTATTCAAAGCAAAAAACTTATCTTTCACTGACTTCCAAAAGTGCCCATAACACAGGCCCCACCAGACAAAGCCAGCTTCTGTCAAAACTTCTCATGATTTAGAAACTTCTGCTCAGACTAGAAGGCGCTTTTTTGTTTTAACGAAAGGAAATAATAACCATAAAACACAGCTATCACTTAAAATTCTTTCTTTTCCAAATTTGACTTTGGAAATGTTAAGAGCTTCCAGCTCATTCACAGGGGCTAGGATAGTAATCCATTGCAGCTTTATGACAACAGCAGTGATGTTCTTGCCCTGTGGTTAAGCAATCCTGAGAAAAAGCCATTTCTGGACCCTTGGGGAAAGAAAAGAAAAAATGCAGCAGTATATTATTTTGTTTTCTATATTCTACCACTTTACTTAATTTTACCAAAAGGTTGAAGATGCATCTAGAACATTTTACCTGATTTCCCTGAAAATAACCTCTCTATGCAGAGATCCTCTCAAACTTTCCATATTTCAGTAAAAATGCTCAAAAAGAAGAAATCTAACAACTCACTGGATGCCTAATTTATTTGCCTCTCTCATTTTGGTTATAGAATAAAGACAATATAGTTCATTCAACAAATTATTTTAAATTTGCTTTAATTTTCCCTCCCTAGACCAAGACATGAGAAAGCCACCCCTGGAGTTACCTCAGGTCTATGAAAGAACAGCTGCTTTCAAATTCCAGTCCATCACATTCCTCATAAATTTTATTGGCTGTTTCAGGAGAATCACATTCTACAACTGCATAGTAGTATTTTAGCCGCTTAAACTGATACTCCCGCAGTTTTTCCCTATAAAGCCTGCAAAAGTAGAAAACACCACAATCAAGTGAGCTGGCTTTAATCACCTCTCATTTGCAAAATATTTTCATTCAACTCATTACAAACACACACCATACAAACACTTCCCTAGTCTTATCATAATAAGATGAAGTCCCACCAGTGTCCATCCAGTCTTACTCGAGTAAAAAGACCAACTCACATGGTTTTATTCATTGTACACCTTCTGTATCTGACTCTGCTTCCCACAGGCATTGTAAGCTTAAAGTCCCTGTGCAGGGCATAGAGGAGCTGCAGAAAGGAGCCTTTAATAGGCTGTCAAGCTGTTTGCGATTATCCTGGCTCTTAACAAAGTTAATGAAAATGTTCATACCTAAGCAAGGGTACGTGTTAAGGAGGCAATTGTAAGGACAGGACCGCAGATGCTCACGCCAGAAGGAGGCAGTGTAGAGTAAGAAAGTGGGATGTGTGAGGGAAGGAATCTTAACTTGTGTAGCCCAGGAGGTGGTGGTGTCACAGAAGGTCACAGCAAGAGAAAAAGCAGAAAAGAGACTGAGAAGTGGATTAATTGGCAGCCCAGGAGGTGGTGGTGTCACAGAAGGTAACAGCAAGAGAAAAAGAAAGGCAGAAAAGAGACTGAGAAGTGGATTAATTGGTGGAATGATGCAGAAGAGAGATCACAGGGCTGAGGTCTTGTCCTGTGAATCTGAAGGGTACATACACAGGCATCACTGAGGTATCTCTGGGAAATCTGGATTTCTTTTGTATTCCAGAATTTCTAGAGCCCACTGAGCAGTAAACCCCATGCATCAAGATGCACCTTGATGCATACAGTGAAGCTGCTTTCAGCACACAGTGTGAGTTCATCATACACTTCCCTGATACACAAGAGAATGAATTCAAAGGATCTGCACTTATTTTAGAAGCATCCAGATTTTCCAAAGATAAGGGAGTCCACTGAGATGAATTATACAAAAGTGACGCCACTCAGGCTGCCAAACATCTGTAAATTTTGGAAAAATATAAAAGCAAAATCTCTCTAGTTCCAGAGAGACAAGATTTTCAAGGAGAACAAAAGGGGAAATAAAAAAAAAACAGACATGCCTGAAAAGCCTGGACAATGGTAGGCCTGATGAGCTCAGCCTGGCAAGCCAGGACTGCTGCTGGTGGCATTCAAGAAATCTCAGCCTGGGAATTCTTGGCCTAAGTTAAGGTCCCTGTTGGTTACGCAGATAAAAATATTGACAGTAAGCAACAAAGGGAGTTTACTGCTTGAGGAGCAATTTGTAGAGGAGAAACGCTGTATTAAGCTCTCCACATTTGTTCCATTTATTATTCCAATTAGGAATATAGTTTAAACTCAATTATCAGCAAGTAAATTTTCTCAAGTTATTATCATAATGCATTTATTCAATGCACTGAACCAGGGCCAGCTGTAAAGTATTCCTTGAAAAAACCTATAAAATTAAAGCCTCTACAGGAGACTTCTACATATTACATTTTGGAAGCAGGAGCTGATCAGGATTTTCACTGAGAATTAGACATATGATGTCTGTCATTTGAAGACTAAGTTAATACCCATCATTCTCTGTGGTATTCTCTGGAAGATCAAACAGTTCCACAGGTCCTTTTTGCTCTTCCTCTTTCAATCTCTCTTTTCCAAACTCCGAAGGAAAGATCTACAAATACAAGAATACAGGAGTAATTTTTTAACAGCACCAACTAAGAAAAAATATCTCACCATGCCTTTTACACTTTATATTTTTTCTCTAGATCAGTAGAGGGATCAATTCCATAAGCTTTAATACTCTCTTAATTTTAATTTACAGAAAAGACAGTAGAATAGAAAAACTGCCCATTAGGAATGAAAATATTTTGAGAAAGGAGAACAACAGGTACCATAACTTTTTTCATTTCACTGGCCCTCTTCAGAAAGCAGTATTAGACTAAGGTTTTTCAGCCACTTAGAGGCAGACACTAAAAAAATGGAAAAACATAACTGAACTGATCAGAATTTAACCACTTTATTAATAAGCTCAAAAGTGTTGAAAAACAAGTGTTGTGCAATGATAAAAGGGGTTGGAAAGCACTTAGAAATAGTCAGGTTTAAGGTTGGATTATCTACTGTAAAGACCATTGAAAATTAAACTAGCCAAGGAAATGTAGTCTCTCCTTACTAACATCTAGAGCCAATCTCATGAACACAGGAAGTTAACATCTTTGGGATCTATCTTGACTGCATATTGGCCCATTGCTGAAAAGCAGAACATATTATTTCTAACACAGCAAGTTCAGTTGCAACACAGTTTGTCATTTATCATGTTAGTATCTCTCTTGATTCTTCTACAGAAATGTCTGTTTCAATTCTGTAGTATCTTTGTTTTGTTTTGTTTTTAACAGTAAAAGCCATTACTTTTAGAAGTCAGGTCTTACCTTAACAGAAAATACTCTTCCTCCTTTGGGTGTGAAAGAATTAAACAGAGCCAACAAATCCTTAGCCTTCAACCTATCCCAATCCATATTACAAACTGCCAATCGACTTGTAATCTGAATGGAAAGGGGGGAAAAAAGAAGATGACAAAGTTCACAGGTTTAATTCCTGACTGCTGTGGGGAGCACACAATTCCCTAGCTGCTAGCCTTGGTAAAAATCAAAGTCAGAAACAAACTGTGGTGAAAGCATAAAAGAAGCATTTTACTCAAGACTTTGTATCACTTAAACTAGCAAAGGTCAGAAACAGCAATCACCAGAGCAGATAAAAAGGACATAAATAGGGAAGCATCCCAGAACTGAATGCACCAATTTAGGACTGCAGTTACAACATCAACATCTAGGAATTTGTTAGATCATACAATTAATCACAACAGCAACTAGTACCACAATACTGGACTAGCACTCGAGCACTGTGACTTCTTATACACTAATTGTACTCGATTTTGAAGTCCTACTTCACTGTCTAAGGATTTCTTAATTTCTTAAAAGCACAACTTAAAAAATAAAATTGAAGTGAAAAAACATTAGTATTGAACAAAACCAGTAATATTTAAACTCTGGAATTCCTGAAAAGCTCAATTCTGTTTGTTCTTTCACTTATAGATAGCTTATCTATCTATAGGTAAACCTCTGCTTACAGGGAAAGGGAGACACCAGTGAAAACTGCAAGTCTCATTCTCAGCCAACTTAATCATCATACCCATTCTGCAAAAAAATACTTTATGAAAAGTACTTTCAAAAAAAATTTCACAGATGAAGGTCTATAATGAATTCAGTGTACACTTCTGAGTTTGTCATGTACCAACTTTTCAAATGCACATGTATTGTTACCTCATCTCCACGAGGGGCATCTTTATCTAGTTCACGCCAGGAATGCTCTATCTCTGGCTCCTTTGGAAACAAGTCATTTAAGTCCTCATCATCCTCTGAGCTGCTTTCAATGTTCCCTATGCCTCTAGCTGGATCAGGCCCACTGTTGCTTTCTTCATCATCTTCTGAATCACTGCCTTCTTCGCCTGTTTCCCCATCATCTTCTGGCTCTTCTTCCTCATCTGTTTCCCCATCATCTTCTGGCTCCTCTTCCTCACCTGCTTCCCTCTCATCTTCTGGCTCTTCTTCCTCATCTGTTTCTCCCTGATCTTCTGGCTCCTCTTCTTCCAATTCTTCCTCTGAGTGGCTTTTACTGATGTCACGTTGATCACAGGTGTCTGTGCCTACAGTCACTGAAAGATAAAGTGTCTATTTTGATGTTGTAATTACATACGAACCTTTACAAAGAGGAAAAATCTCAGATTTACAGTACCCCTGAAATGCACAGTGATGCGGGAATAAATTACACCAGGGAAGTGCAAGCCACATAAATCATCAGCCTGGGCTCTTCAGCTTATGTGATCTATTGCTCTTTAGGACCACAGATGTATCATCTGTCTCAAATTCTGTGAAAATACTGTTGTTGTTCTATTAATAACTATATAATCAACAGGTAGATTATAGTTTTCAATAATCTAGGCTGTATGCATTCACATGCAATATAAAGTCTTTCTTACAGTCACCTGTTCTCTCTAATGCTCTCTTATATTAATGGCTTGGTGCTGCCATTCCTACGCTTTCAGTCAACAACTGTTGATATTTTGAGGCCTTCATGGTATCAGACCTTACATTTGACATTCAGTTTGAGAAATAATGTCTACAGTACTGTACATTCTACTTTTCTAACCACCATAACCAACAATTTCAGCTCCAGCAATGAAAAGGACATGGATATTCACAATCCAGCTGAAGAGCTAGCACTGATTCTAAAGAAGTGCTGACCAATCCTGATTCCTTAGCAACACTGAATCTGGGTCAGTCGGTAGAAGACCTTCCACGGAGAATACAAAAGCAACAACACCCAAGTAAACACAGTCAAATTCTACTTATTATTTGAACAACTGACCTGATTCTTTTCTTTTTTCTCCTAGGGAATGGTCCTTCCTGGGAGCTTTAACTGATTTGGCACCTCTTGGTTGTGAAAACTTTTGCTTGTTTTGAACTGAAATTGATCCTCCTCCTTGCTTATTATCCCGTTTGTGTAGAAGGCCTTTCTTTCCCTGACAGCCATCAACTTCTGTTGCTGTCTTCTTAGAGTCCTCTTTCAAGTTCAATTTAGATGTTCTTTTTTGTCCTTCACTTTTAAGGTCATCTAGTTTTGTCATTCCTTCAGATGTTTGGTCCACTCCTCCTTTCTTTATTTTGCTCTTTTCCCTCGGGAGCTCATCAGCAAATAGTTTTGCATCTCCTTTAGGTTTAGCTTTTTTTTTCTTTTTCTTCCTTTCAGCTTCTTCTTTACTATCATCTTCTGAAAGGCCAGAGTCAGATTCTGACAGGGCATAAAATTTCCTGAGGTTCTCTGTTGAAGTATAGTTAACAGGGCGACCTCTTTTATCCACTGTATATTTCAGCTTAAACTTCTTGTCATGAAACATGGCTCGGAATCGTTTGTCAATCTTGATTTTACGTTCTTTTTCTGGCATCTCCCAAAATCTGGGATCCCTGGCAACACAGCTAAACCGCCCATCCTTCAATATTTCCTCTTGGGATGACATTTTTGATGCTGTTGAAGACTTGGACATCTACAACATGAAGAAAAAAAAAATACTTCTGATTACAAAAAAACTTCTTTATAGGTTTACAGAAAAAAAAAAAAAAACAACTGAAAAAAAATTAAGCAGCTAGATTTTTAACCTATAACTAAAAAATTCTTACCGAAACCACAGACACCATTTAAATGAGGCACAAATAATCCTTCAACTACGACAGTGTTGGCCACAAATCTTAGCTTCCTCTGATAATGGATATGCAGCTAAAAAAACCCACATAATGACTGCAGATATAGCTGTAATGTCCTACCAATCCCAAACAGAATCTCAAACAGCTCTGCTGTCAGACCTCAGAATTATTCTTCCCACAGGAGTAATACACTGAGAGAGATGGGGTTGTTCACACTGGAGAAGGCTCCAGGGAGACCTGATACCAGCCTTCCAGTTCCTGAAGGGGCTACAGGAAAGCTGGGGAGGGACTTTATATAAGGGCATGTAGCAATAGGACGAGGGGGAATGTCTTCAAACTGAAAGAGGGTGGCTTTAGATCAGTCATTTGGAAGAAATTCTTTAGTGTGAGGGTCACAAGACACTGGCACAGGTTTCCCAAGGAAGTTGTGGATACCGCATCCCCGGAGGTGTTCAAGGCCAGGCTGGATGGGGCTCTGAGGCACCTGGTCCAGTGGGAGGTGTCCCTGCCCATGCAGGGGGGTTGGATCTAGTTGGACTTTAAGGTCCCTTCCAACCATTCTGTGATTCTAAAGCACCACTTGGGAACGAAGCCAGCTAGAGCACGACCCATCCGGCGGGCTCAGACAAGCGCTCCCGCCCGCCCCGGCGCGGGGAGAGGCC